TCAGAGCGAGGTAAGTCTCCTTTCTAACCTTATAAGTGGGAATTAACCCCATAGATGAAATCAATTAATATATGCTTCTAATTGTGGGGGCTACGTACGCACGAGGTGACGAGAGTCCGTACATAGCTACTAGTTATGCCTATGTCCGGGTAGTCTAGGTTTACATCATGCCTTGTTGACATTGTTGTCGATTTAAGTTATTGTTGCCTTGAGAAGAAGGAAGATGGAAATTTGAAGAATTTAAGATTTAAAAGGTTCATTTGAACTTCGTAATTTCGAAAAGAATTGAGGAATATTATAATACCTTAATAAATTTCTGTGTAACCACGTCGCAGGTATGATTCGCGAGCGGGGTAATTTTCTTAAAAAGTTTCAAGTTGAATTTCCATTATTTTAAAAAGAATCAAGAAAGAAATATGATTTAAATGTTATACTTATATTTGGCCACGTCACAGGTATTATTCGCGAGTGGGGTATTTCCTTAAATTTATATTTTACCACGTCGCATGTATGATTCGCCAGCGGGGAATTTTTTAGATGCATCTATGGTTCCCGCCGTTCGACCCTCGGTAGTGCACATTTTATTTTTATTGTTGGATCGGGTCATACGACCTCGGCATGTCTTGCGCATGATTGTATTAATTGCTTCGGAAATTATAATAATTGATATTGCCTCATTGGCCTGAGATATAAACTGTTAGATGAAAATGAATTTGGGAAAAACTTCTTGTTAACAAAAGAATTGTTTACGTAATGATATCGGGCTTACAGCCGTTCTACGTTATCCATGCTTAATCATATCATTGGTATATTAATTATAGCCCATAGTAAGTGTCTGAGTCGACCCCTCATCACTACTTCTTCGAGGTTAGGCGGGATACTTACTGGGTACGCGTGGATTTACGTACTCATGCTACACTTGCTGCATATTTTTGTGCGGGTACACATATATTTAGCGGCATTGTGGGCACAGAGGCGAATTTTAGGGAATGAAAACTAAATTACCGGTAGTGCAAGAACATTGTTTGAGCTAACTACAAAAATATTTCCTCTTTTACCATTTTATGTTTACACTAAAAAATATTCAAATCTTATGAAAAATATTTTCACAAAGGAATCAAATACACAAATCTACCCAAATAATAAAATTGGCATGCGAAACCAAAATTGAAGCTTTTGAGCAATTTTTTGGTCTTTTCTTTGTTTTGAATGACCCAAATATATCAAGTGTCAATTCTACTTAGTTAGAAATTCTATCACTTAATCATGCAGTTTGGACTTAAGAAAAATTACTAAAATATGTTGTAACACTATATGTCATGATTACATATTCGTAATACTTCCGAATTTAAAATACATAAGGTCGCATTTGCTTTACAACTGAATTTGTATTATTCATATTATCCAAAAAAAACAAAAAAACGGCAAACACATTATCTACAAAGAAATATACACTACAAGAAATACGGTTAATTGTGGAGGTTTATTTGTGAGGATAATAAGAACTCCCACAATAGGATCATTTTGTGGCGTTTCTTTTAACCCCTGATATATAATTCTTTTTGTGGCGGTTTATTTGTGGAGGTTTTTTATAACCTCTGCAAATTGCATCAAATTGTGGAAGTTTGTAAAATATAACAATTCGATACACTTTGTGGCCGTTAATAACCCCCATATTTGTGGGGTCAACCAAAAGCATAAATTATGGAGAAGCACTTTAGGGCATAAGAATTTTAGGATAAGTATAAGTGCTATTGAATACATGCTCTGCTTTTAGCCAGCCTAGATGAACAAAGTTAAGGTGAGACTAGATGGAATAGCAGTACCAAAATATAAATAATTTAGATATCTATACTCGTTATTTTAAAAGAATGGAATGATCTATGAAAATGTTACTCGTATAGTAAAATTAGATGGTTGAATAGACAAGTGTTATCGGAATGTTATGTGACAAAATAGTGTCCATCAAAGAGAAGGAACATTCTTTAAAATAGTTATAATACCGACAATGGTATATGGTCATGAGTGTTGAATTGCTAAAGTCCAATATATCCACAAGATGTGTGTTGCACAAATGCGGATGCTAAGATGGATATGCAATTATTCAAGATTATATAAGATTAAAACTTAACCACATTCGCCAAAAGGTGCAAGTCGTACATATTGAGGATAAAATAGAAGGTCGCTTCATATGACTTAGTATGTCCTGCATCGACCTATAGATGTGCCGATCCATAAATACGCAAAAAAAAAATTTAATGACCCGATAAGTCATTTAGAGTTCTAACTTCTCATTTCATAATTTGAGATATTATATAAAATATTTCGGCGCTTATTATAAAAAGTTAAAAAATTAAACTTAAGAACTTTAAAATCTTTGAGTTTTGATGTGTGATTTTTAGTTTTTAATATTATTTTGATATTTTTAGCTTACGAGCAAGTTCATATGAGATTTATATACTTGTGTGGATGTATGGATGGAGTCCCAAAGGGCCTGGGTAAGTTTCAAATTGATTTCGGACCGATTTCGTAAAACTTAGAATTTGTTGGTGCTGCAATTATCGCAATTGTGATGAACTTCTCGCAAATGCGAGGTTCGTAATTGCAAAGTGGGCCTCGCATTTGTGAAGGTGGGATGGGGTGGCCAGCTTCGTAATTGCAAAGCTGGAATCGCATTTGCGACCCTCCCAATTGCGAGATTTGTGTCGGCTCAAGGATATTTTCTCATTTGCGAACACTGTTTCGCTTTTGCAAGCTGCGCAATTACTAACAAGAGTTCACAACTGCGATATATGCAGCTGGGTAAAAATAAAGAATTTAGAAATTAGTTTATTTTATTCCATTTTTAAGACCAAGACTTTGTGGGAGATGTTTTTTGAAAAGAAATATTTTCCCGTCTTCAAGGACCAGTAACTTTAACTTGTTTCTTATCAATTTTCATTACTTTTAGTAGATTTTCTTCCCTAAATATAAGATTTCGTAGAATAGAAATAGGGTTTAGAGATTTAGACCTCGAATTGAGGTCGGATCTCGAAATAAATCACATATTTGGACTTAGGGGTGAATGGATATTCAGAATTTAGTCTTGATTTCGAATTTCAACCAAGTGGATCCGAGTTGACTTTTCTAAATATATCAAATACGGACTTTTTGGATACAATGATAGTTTCTAAAGCTTATTTTGACTTATTTGAGTATTAATTTGTCATATTCGAGTAGTTTGGAGGCTTGTGCTAAAGAAAATGCAGTATTTGAGGGTTGATTTGTGCCGGAAAGAGGTAAGTGTCTTGGTTAACCTTAATTTGAGGAAATTAGAATGTAACTGCGTCTAATTGCTATGTGTTATATGTGTTGGGAGCGGCGCATACGCAAGGTGAGGGGTGTATATGCGTTTGCTATGGGTTAAGCATGCAGGTAAAACTGACTTTTATGCTTTAATTAGATTGTGAAATTCTTTGACTATTCTTATTCACATTGGTAGTCTTGTTGAGCTTGTTGTGATATTGGGTAGTAAGGCTATTGAAATGTTGATTTGGCTATTGATAATGAGTGATGACTATTTCCCTTATGGCAAGTTATGTTCAATCACTCTTCTTGATATTATTTGTTATTTTTACCTTTTTTGGTATTGGTTTACATGTTTATGCATGTTGGAAAAAGTGAATTGCACGAAAGGTATTTCTGTGCTCGTAAGGAAGAGTGATATGCACGATGGATATTTCCGTGCTTGTGAGGATGAGAGTAAAAATATGAAGGGTGATGATGTGCAATTTGATTGATATCTCTTATTCCTTACTTTTATGATATAGATTGAGAGTTTGGCTATGTTGTTTCATAGTTGCATTATCAAGTTACTTGGACTTGAATTGTGGTGAAAGGCTTGTTTGCTGTTGTTTACGTCATTATACTCCTTAGTTACTTCTTATTATTCCTCGTATTATTTATTTTGCTACTACACTTGTTATCTCACGTGTTACCTAATTGCTATCTTAGTTGCGACTTTTTTTTTGTTCTCTTAATTGCTATATCTCTCTTTATTTTCTCGTTACTTAAGTGCACGGGTTTATATGTAGGTATTTGGTCTTAGCCTCATCACTTTCTCGTCGGAGTTAAGCTTGACACTTACGGAGTACATTGGGTCGGTTGTACTCATACTACACTTCTGTACTTCTTGTGCAGACTTTGGCATCGGACTTAGTGGTACTCAAAGGACGAACTAGCTTGCTTGGTTGTAGGGACTCGAGGTAGTACTGCATTCACGTCCGCAGGTCTTGATGTCATCCAGCTTCTAGACTTTATACTATTTATTCGTATCAAACAATGTATTTGTCATTTCAGACATTGTATTTAGTAGTTTTGTAGAAGTTCATATACTTGGTGACACTAGTTCTGGGAAGATTTTAGATGGTTGTTTGATTTAGTCCTGTTAAGTATTGGTTTGCCTAGCAAGTGATGTTGGGTGCCATCACGACCCCTTGGTTGGAAATTTGGGTCGTGACAAAAAATACAAAATATTTGCACATGAATGACTTTTATTTTCATAATATTAGGAGTTGTGAATTAAGGCAAAAATATTAGCACTTTTATAATTTTGTCACATTTTATGTAATCAAGGATATTTAGAAATTTGAATTTTAAATGAATTATTTTAATGAATTTTAGTAAGTTTATATTATATTTAATTTATTATTTGTTTGGATCTTTTGTTTTTCGTTGCTTTTATTTTGTGTAGTAGTATATATCAATTAGATTTTAAGTATGTTGTATTAATAGGTTAATTTTATTTGTCAAAGTTTATTTATTTTTTAAATAATAAAAAGAAGAGAAAACTAGAAGCAAAGAAAGACGCTAAAAGACAATACTGGACACTGTCTTCATAGGTTTTAATCGGCACCTTACGGGGTAATTTGGAGATTAGACTCAAAATTTTCAGAAACTCGCGGGAAAAATTCCCTTCCTTCCCCCACCCTCCCCTTTTTTCAGGATACAATTTCCTTTCCCCAACTCACAAAATCTTTCAGGCCCAAATTTCCTCTCTTCATCACCTTTTCTACCGAGAGAAAGTCGGCACAATCAGAACAACAAAGGTTCGTACTTCGTCATACTCTTTTTATTTCCAGTTGTTCTATATCTCCTTTGTTTACTATTCGTTACAGAGTTCGTACTCGAAATTGTTTAAGATATGCTTGCGGATTTATGTATTATTACTAGTATTGTGTTATATTTTGGTTCAATTTTATGTGGGTTCCTTCGCTTGAGGTCTAATTGCAAATTTTACCCTTTTAAGAATTGTTGCGGGGGAAACCTGTGCGCGTTTAAATGGAGGCTCTCTAGTGAGAGATTGTATATTTGTATTAGGTGGTATTTGGGAGATCTTTGGTCTTTTACGGTTGATTGAAGTTTTCCCTATTTTGGCTATTGGATGGATTATGTATTTAGAATTTTGAAGTACGGGGAACAATGCAATGCACTCTTTCTTTGTCCAACGACTTTGATCACTACTAAGTTTTGGGTTTGATTTTTGAATTGTTTGTAAGTTGGTCCAGCTTGGGGATTGATGGTCTATGAATTGATTTTTTATTTTCCTTCTTGTTACAATTAAGTAGAGTTTTGATTTCGAGCCTCTTCATAATGTAGTACTCTAGTTACTGTTTAATCAAGGCTACTTTACGGGATACTAGTGTGATTTTCTGATATTAGTTAGCATTGTTTATTATTCACGAACTGCCATAATCACAGACCAACATGAGGAATTTGGTAGATGGTCTAGACTATCGGCTCTCGCCTTTGTTGACAAACTAATGTAAAATGAGAAGAATGAGGTACAATCTTCTAAGTTTGGTTTTCTGTTGTATATTTGCAACTATTGCATCCTTGTATATCAAAAATGATTAGAAGCATGAGTACAATTACATTAACTTTTGCATATGCTCAGGTGATTGTTGTAGAAAATTACTCCAATGGATCAAAGGATAATCTAAAGCAACGGATTGATCATCCAAGATTTGAGCTAATTCGTGAAGGTAAGGTACTCCTTGTGTTTGCTTCTACAAATGTGTATGGATTTCTTGTTATTCATGAGTACTTTTGATCAAATGAATAAAGCATCTAAGTAATTCCAACATGTTTGTTTAACCATGATTATCAGTGAAAATCTAGAGATTAAATTTTAGCTAGCAGTTCCGACTTTGAGTTAAGACTTATCTGAAGCATCTAGATATTTCTTATCATTATAAAAAAAAATTCAATGACTAGTCAGAATTATCTCTGTTATACTCCTTCTTGTTTCCCTTTTCATGCATGGCCTATTTGGGTGCAAACGAGCACGGTGAAGAAAATTTCTTTCACTGGTGAATATGTGGGCAAAGGTTTCAAGATTGTTGTGTTGGTATGATAGCATTGAGGGGTAAGTTATGCTTCTTAACTCATTTCTTGGCCAGGTGTTCGTTTCAGAGAAAGTTTATTTTTTGTATAACAAACTTAACGACTTATAGGAAGTTAGAATAATTGGAAGAACATTTGCAGCATTGAACACTACTTTAAGTGAAACAAAAAATGGTAGCCTCGGGAACAAGTAACACAGTTGGCTCATTGACATCTTTCTATATACGTGGCTACAGGTGGATGTAAACTTGATGTACTAGTCTAAACTCACAACACACATAAATAAGTGGTAATTTTCTCACTAGAAATCGGGTAAAAACCGACCAACGTTGGTCGGTAATGGCCAAAAACCGATCAAAACGCGATCATTTATGTGTGGACGGTATTTTTGTGGTCGGAAAGGCATATCGACCAAAGTTGGTAGGAATTTTAATTCAGAAAAAAAAATATTGCAAAAAAAACCGACCAAAGTTGGTCGGTATTTTAATTATGTAATAAAAAGATTCACTATCTGGGAATCGAACCGGGGTCTGTACTGTGGCAGGATACTATTCTACCACTAGACCATTGATATATTTTGTTTTAAGACTATCTTTTATTTGATTTATACTCTTTAATTGTATTTTCGCACGAAAATAACCGACCAAAGTTGGTCGATTTTATTAAAAAGTAAAATTACCGACCAAAGTTGGTTGGTTTTTTTAAATGACCGGCCGAATTAACCGACCAATTTTGGTCGGTTTTTTTAATATTTATTATTATTTATTTTAATTGAAAAACCGACCAAAGTTGGTCGGTTTTTTGAAACATAAATTTTGCGGGACTCAAAAATAGTTTCCCGTATTTTTGTGCCAAATAAAACCGACCAACTTTGGTCGGTCGAACTTGATCGGTTTTTGCCGAATTTCTAGTAGTGTCTATTAAATTGATTGCATTTGGATTTTTCTTATCCCTAAGACTATTGGTTACTGAAATATACAACAAGTTTCAGAAATAACAAAGGTCCCTGACACTCTTATGGTGATAGTTGATTCTGCTATCTATTTTGTCAACTCTAATTATATGAAGGGCATGTTCTAATTATTTAATTAGCTTAATGATATTGGTTTCTTATAATTTTGAAGGATACTGAGATGGTTAACTAATGAAAAGAAAATTACTAAAAGAAACTAATCAAACAAAAATTCCACAATTCGATTGTTGAGATGTCACTAAGTTATCTCCTACATTTTTAATCCTTTCAATTCTTTTCCCTTGGTACTGTATGTTATTAAGAGTAATTTGTTTCGTATTCTCTTGCAGCGTTACTGATACAGATACTAATGGAATTCATGTCTGCAAAATTTGATTAAGTCCCTTAACAAATTAGACGTTGAAGTAAGTTGGTAGTATATAAATTCTATTTTTTCTGTTCGAGTTTTGGCACTTTTTTGTTGCTTCTTTTGTTTGAAGTTAGCTCCTAAAGATTTTGACGCTGGCTTGGTTTGTTTAACTAATTATTAGTTTATGGCTCCTATTTTATCTGTTCATTTCTTCTACTTGAGTTTTCCGGGTGCTGTTAGCGACTTAGCGTTCAACTTTTCATCTTTCGTTAATCATTGGGTTGGATTATAACTTATACTTTATTTGTTGAATTCTAATGTTAGAAAAACTATAGAAGTTGACTTATACTTTAATAGTTACATAGGTGATTTTTTTATTTCATTAATATGGCCAGAATTTATGTTGCCAAGTAAGATTTGTGATGATATACGAGGAATTAACTTTGTACTTTAGCTCCTATTCATGTGATAATATCCAGCAACTTCTGTTCAATGCCTTGATTAGACCAAGTGACAGATCAATTTGTTAAAAAAAATTAGAGCTTTCATCTATTTATGTAACTGGATTTGTGCTTATGATTTGTCAAAATGCTAGTCAATTATAAGTTTTTCATCAAATATTTTTGGTTCATTATTTCAGCTTAGTGATGTGGAGAGCTAGTCTACTTCCCCTCATGGATGTAAGAGTAGCATCAAGCGATAACAATGCAAATCACCAAGCAAGTACATTGCACTTTGTATATTTATTTATTGAGGATGAGGATCTACTCTTTATTGTATAATGTTTAAGTTATCATACATTTATTTGTATAATTTTAGTTTGATATGAATTTGAAATTGTGATGTTTGTTAGTATTGATATTTTTAATAGAATTTGATTTCTGTTGTGAGAGTTATTTAGTAAAATTATTATATTGAATCCTCGAATATAAACTTTCAGATAGATATTGTGGTAGTTACAAATTGCCACTATTAATTTTTTTTATTAAATTGAGATCAAGTTGTGAGGGTTATAAATTCCCACAAATTATTTTTTTAAAACATTGAAATCATATTATGGAGGTTACAAATTGCCGCTAATTAGTTTTATAAACCGCCACAAATTAAAATTTTATTTTGTGGCGGTCACCGTGGAAGTTGTACAAAATTGCTGCAAAAAAGCTTGTGGCGAACGTAACTATGGCGTTTTTTGAAACCGCCACAATTTATTTTTGTGGGGGGTCGAAAATCGTCACTGATCAATAAAATAACCCCCACAAAATGAGTCTTTTTTTTTTTTTTGGTGATAGTAGGCAAGATATGATTACAATCTATATTTCACTACTCTACAACTACTTATAATATATAAGGAACATAACAAAATTGATCATCTTTGCATGTTCATACGAATGCCAATCATTTTGAATTAAATATTATATTATTGTGATGATACCAGCTTTCAACATTTAAAAGGTTATTGCATTTTTCTAATGCCTATTGCTATCTACATGATTCTTTCTTCTTATATACTTTTATATTTATTTTAATTTATTATTCTTTCATATAAATATTTAACTTAACTAAAAATCTAACGCACTTCCATATAAACTAGTTTATATAAAATGCGACAAAGAGGACAATTTGCAAAAAGGTAAATCTGACAGAATCTTTATAATTTGTTTTCTAATTGCCTTGTCTATGTCGATTCAAATGAAAGTGTTTAAACTGGAAAATGATTCTGTTGATAGGTGCGTGCATCTGTCAACTAATGATTACTTTTTNATATATATATATATATATGCGTGGACAAAAAAATTCACGAGGCTAACGCATGTATATTATCCCGTCCGGCGAGATTGGTTAGGGTATTATTGTAATGCCAAGTCCAGAGGTATAGGACTTGTAAATATATAAATATTTGGTTAGGCAATTTAAAAAATCTTATCTGTTATAAAAATATTTATAAAGCATGTATATAGTGCATATAGTAGTGTATAATATTTTCTTGTAGTGTAATTTTGAAACGTTTCATTTTATTAATGCACCATATGATTCTAAAGATTTCTCGATTATAACAAAAATAATACTACTAATAACGAACCAAATTAAAGGATCTGCTGGCACGTAGAATATTATTTGCGATTAGTCATTTTCGTACAATATTATTTGACAATGTAAGTGTGGAATATTCCAGCAGCAATGCTATATCACTTGAGCAAGCTAGAAAATACTGTACTTATTATTGTATAATAATTGTATGCTCCGAACATAATAATGTATTCAGTAGAGACATCAGACATATTTCAATGTCATGGGACCTATAGTAATTGTAGTGCGACTAGACTCGTGTGTGTGTTTAATGTTCCCCCGAAAAAGATCCTTTTGTTTAGAAAATAGTAAGTTAAATAATTTTTAGCCACAAAAAGTAGGTCATGAGAAAATGTAGTAAGTTAGGAGTAATAAATAAATAAAAAAAGTAAGTATAGGTATTTTTTCTAGTTCTTCAAAAAGTGGAAATAATTAATTTCTCATTATCTATCCAACTATTTGCATTTAATCGGACCAAAATCGCTTTCAAGACAGTTAACTCAACACATTTTTCCAACAACTAATCTAACTGCTGGTCTTATTCAAAGAATCACGATTGTTTGGGTGTGATCTCAGCGCAAATTTCTACCCAATGAGTTATATATACTCTAGATCTGCCACTCATTTATACTCAAGTTGACATCAAGCCAATATACTTAATCATGTGTAAGCAATAATGTGGTAATAATACACATAATTAGCCATAGTTGGGTGGATAAAAGAGTATGAAAAAGATAAATGTCATATTATTATTCCGAAGCTCGAGTAGAAGAAGGGGTACTTGAACATTGAGCCGCCGAAGATCGGAATTGAGTTTCTTAGATATGGTGTTTATATATACATTTATCACTTAATTTATTTTTTATTAATTTCTAACCGTTATAATTAAAATTACTTAATTGAGTGTAAACAACTCTTCCCAGAGTTACCGCCTTGCAAAGAAGGATTCTTGCATTAAATTCGGTGCATTTATAATTGATGTTGGGTGTGTGTGAATAAAGCCCCGCATGGGAAGTACGTAGAAACTAAAAATAAGTTACTTATAATGAGTTGGATACTCTTAATGGCATGAGGCTTTATAGGAAAACTGTGTAAGTTTGGCCTAAAACGGATAATATCATACCATATTAAGAGTATCTTTGGGCCGTTTTCCGTTTGGATGGACTTATTTTAAGTGACTTTTAAACATAAGCCATAAGTTAGGAATTCTAACTTTTTGCTTTTGGCTTATTTTTGTCATTTAAACTTAAAAGCAAGCTAAGTGCTTAAAAGTATTTTTTTACTTTATTCAAACACTACAAAATGGCTTAAAAGCACTTAAATTAAGCCAATCAAAATGAGTTCTTAGACCAACATTTATTGTAACGACCCAGCCAGTCGTTTTGAGAGTTGTAGCCACGTTCTCCCCATTTACTACTCAATTTGTGCTTTAAAGTTGTTATGTGACTTGCCGGAGTAATTGGTTCGGGTCCGGTGAAGTTTTGAAATGAATTGAGAAACTTAGTCTCCAAAATAAAAACTTAAGGTGAAAAGGTTAACCAGATGTCGACTTATGTGTAAACGACTCCGAAATAGAATTTTAATGATTTCAATAGTTTCGTATGATGATTTTGTACTTAGGAGCATATCCGAAAAATTATTTGAAAGTCCGTAGTTAAATTAGGATTAAAATGGCTAAAATAGAAATTTAAGTTTAGAAGTTTGACCGGAGAGTTGACTTTTTGATATCGGGGTCGGAATTCGATTCTGAAAATTTGAATAGGTCTATTATGTCATTTATGACTTGTGTGCAAAATTTGAGGTCAATCGGACTTGATTTGATAGGTTTCGGCATCGAATATAGAAGCTGAAAATTCTCAAGTTTCATTAGGCTTGAATTAAGGTATGATTCGTGTTTTCAGCGTTGTTTGATTTGATTTGAGGTTTCGACTAAATTCGTAAGATGATTTATGACTTGTTGGTGTATTTGGTTGAGGTCCCGGGGGCCTCAGGTGAGTTTCAGATGGTTAACAGATCAAATATTGGACTTGGTATTTTGCTGAAGTTTTCTGGTGCATAGGTCTCGTTTCCTTCTACGCGATCGCGTAGGCTTAGCTAGGCAGTGGATAAATTTGTTCTTCGCGATCGCGTGAAAAAGGATGCGATCGCGTAGCTTTGGATGCCAATGCTTTGCGAACGCGTGAGGCATGTCGCGTTCGCGAAGAGGAAAGGAGGAAGAAACTGCGCGTTTTATTCTTCGTGATCGCGTGAAGGAGTTCGCGATCGCATAGGGTTATTTTTAGGCAGTGAAAATTTGTGCTTCGCGATCGCATAGAAGAAATAACTGGGCAGAGAGTTTAAGTTCTCAAAATGGGACTTCGTTCCATTTTTCATTTTTGATGAATTAGAGCTCGAGAACAGGCAATTTTCGGGAGATTTTCAAGGAAAATATCGGGGTATGTGTTCTTAACTCAATTTTGGTTAAAGTATATGAATATATGGTAGTTTTTAAAATTTAATTGGTGATTTAAGTTGGAAGATTTAGAAAACCCTCTTGGTTTAGATTGAAGATTTGAGGGTCGAGTTGATGTCGAAATTTATTAATATTGGTATGGTTGGACTCGTGGTCGAATGAGCGTTCATATTTTATACCTTTTGTCGGATTCCGAGACATGGGCTCCACGGGCATTTTTTGAGTTAAATTTTGGATTTTTGTTGGAAAATTTGTATTTTCATATGGAATAAATTCCAATAATTTGTATTGATTAAATCGAATTAATTGTGACTAGATATGAGGCTTTCGGAGGCCAATTCACGAGGCAAAGGCATAGTAGAGTAAAGAATTACACAAGTCGAGGTAAGTGACTTGTCTAACCTTGTAAGGGGAGGGGGGAATTCCCCTTAGGATTGGTATTGATATGATAATTGTGATGTGTTGAAAGTCGTGTAGGCGAGGTAACGAGTGTGTACACAGGCTAAATGTGAAAAATTTTGGTTTTAAATTGTGTAGATCTCTATTACACATTAATTAAATTATTTTATCCGGTTATATTCATTATCATTGATCTATTTTTTTATATTTTAAATTTGCCTGACATTTTTTCTGCTAATTATTTTACCTGTTTAGTTGAAACTTTGTTTCTTTTATTCTGTGCTTATTATTTGAAAGTTGAATTTCTTAATTGAATTATTATTAATATGAAGTATTGACATTTAAAAATTCGATATTGAGGCAAGATATTAAATTTGTAAAAAACTATTTTTGTCGAGTTATTCACTTCCGAATATTTTGTGAGATTTTGTATTCATTGTGATTGAGCCTTTAGCTCCTTATTGTGGAAATAATGTTGTTGATGATTTATTTTGGCAAGTTAAAATATTTGGACACTTGAGGTGCAAATTGTGATATTGATATGCATGCAATGGTATAAGGTTCGGGTGTTGAAACGCATGCGGCGAGATAAGGGCGGCTTGATACACGTGGCTAGTAGGGGAACTAATAGAAGTCATGCGGTATGATAAGGGTGGCTAAAACGCGTAATGCTATTTCGGAAAAAATATTTTCTTTAAAATTAAATGTGAAGGCTCCCGCGGTGATATAAGGAAATGAGATGTTGTGAATTTATTTATAATTTGGGACTACGAGACGGTACCTCGGGAGTGTCCTTGTTGATATTTCTTTATGATTGCACTGCTTTTGGTTATTTTTGGTATTTTCCTTAAAGTTATAAATTTCTGTTTTTCTTCTGCGATGCATTATTTGCCCTTATTTTGTGTAGTTAAATTGTGATACTTACTGGGTACCACTGTGGTGTACTCATACTACACTCTGCACATCTTTTTGTGCAGATCCAGGTACTTCCTATCAGACCAGGCATCCATGAACTAGCCGTACGCAGAAACTTCAAGGTACATCTGTCAGCGTCCGCAGACTTCGAAGTCCCCTTCTATTCTTATTATGTTATTTTTGTTATTCTCTTTAAACTCTTATGTATAGAGACACTTAAAATAAATTCTTAGAAACTTGTGACTTATTTCTACCGGGTTTTGGGCGTTGAAATTATTTGAATTGCAGTTTCATTTATTTCAGATTTTTATTATGTTATTTCGCATTGATAGACTTACCTAGTCCTAGAGACTAGGTGCCATCACGACATCCTACGGAGGAAATTTGGGGTCGTGAAATTTACACACTTTTTATTTTTTAACTCGTACATACATAAAAAAAAAAACAGAAAACAAATTCACTCCAACAAATTTGAATAGTAGTTCCTAATTAAGACAAAAGCCAAGCCACAAGGTCACTATGGTGATAATCAATTTCTACCATTGCTTCGTTCGTGCTGTTTTGTTGCAGCCCTGCAGTGTCATTACTATCCCACAACGGCCAAGATGAAAGATGATTATTATTTGACAAGTTGTTCTCTTGCTCTGCTTCTTCACTTGCCCACAAATATTCCCAATCCCCCATAAATGTTTTTGTTTCATCACTAACAATAATTTTGTCATCTTCACTTAATAGTATTTTATTATTATTGTTATTCTCGACTATTTCAAAATTTTCTCCTTCGCCGTTCCATAAACAACTGAAAATGAAATCTTGGCCTAGCTCTTCATTCTCGTCCATTAGCACGATACCATCACGCCAGTGCATTTGATCATTATCTAGCTCTATGGCAATATTATTTCCACTTGCTATAATATTATTCCCACATTCTTGCGATGAGCTAGTAGTAATATTTATGGTGCTAGATAAGGCTTCTTTCTCTATATTTGGCGTTGAGGGTATAGGAACTATAGTCTTATTTGATGAAAATTCTGACTCCGCTACTGAATGATCAGGTTTCGATAAATTTGAAGCAATAGACTTTGATGATGGACTTGTTCGCCTGCGTCTTTGCTTGTTTAGTTGTTGTGTTCCTTTTTTGGCTAATTCTACAACAGCTTGTGGCAACTTTTCATCACTTGGAATCCTTAAGCTTTCTACTTTTCTGCTCAAACGAGAATTCCAATAGTTTTTTATTTCATTGTCTGTTCTACCTGGTAAATATTCTGCTATTAGAGACCACCTGCAAAATAGATTGAACATTTTAATTAATATGTTACTGCTAAAATATACCAAAAAAATTAGCAAAGGAATTAGTTTAACTTCTAAAGTGTAAACGAATTTTTATTCTATCAAGTAAATCTTAGAAATAAGTACACAAAATTGATCATAATAACAACGACAATCTATTTACTAAAATAAAAAGTGAAACAATTTGTTAATGTAAAAGTTAATTACATAGTCGGTGTATATATAATTAAATTCATGGTTATATGTAGTCAGAGGTGGATGTAGAGTGGTAGTATCGGGTTCATCTAAACCCAGTAATTTCGACGCGGAGCATAAATTTATGTGCAAGAATTCACAAAAATTACAAAATTAGTAATTATGCGTCCAATGCTAAAGAATATTAAAGATTAAACCTATAAAATTTAAAATCCGCGTGTATAAAGTGTGGCTCAATTAAATAACTACACTTGTCCTTTTCTCTTTACAGTAGCAAGCTTTCCTTTTCAGTACTATTAAGCACCGCTTTCTGCACCTACGTACGTACAAAATTAGTCTTTTTCCACTTTTAGTGGTCACTGCTGCAACCTTTTTTTTAAACCGACACGGATATTACGACTACTAAATTTTGAAATGACGATTTTAAGTTTTAATAATTAAATTATTAATTTAAGTTTAAATAATTAAATTCCACATCTAAGATGTATACATATTTAAAAAATATAATTAATATAATTTTAAGCTACCTCCAGTCTCTTATATTTTTGTCTCAAATTAATGGAGGGAAGACAAACATGAATTGTAAAAAATTAATTATCAATGACAGAACACACCTGTTACCCAAAGTTGCACGTAACTTGATAATTATAGCTTCTTCAGCAGCAGTTATGTTACCTCTCTTTAAATCAGTTTTCAAATAATTAATCCATCTCAGTCGGCAACTCTTTCCACATCTCAGTAACCCTTCAAAGAATAAAAAAGAAAATAAAACAATTAGTTAAATTAAGCGAGTGACAGAAGTTAGAAACATAATATAATTAAGTAAAATATACTTTCTAACAAGCTTAAATTTCTGAAGAAATAATCACACACTGCAACAATATGGTATCAGAAAAATAAGACGTACGTCGTGGATTTAAATTCTAGTGCTACCAAGAAAAAGAATATTTTCATGTAAAAAAAAAAGTCTGTGAATAGCGTAAAATCATTAAGTAAAGTTATGCTCTCTCTAAAAGTAGTGAAATCAATTGTATTTTCAGGTAACCCCACCAGTATCTAAGGGCTAAAAATGGTGAATTGAGAATGAAGCTAGCACTTATTTCTGGTTTCTCTCCTGGCTTTCCGATATTCTTGTGATTGAGATACCGATTCAAACCCTATCATATCTAGGCCGTCCTAAGTACAAAAGGTTAATTCAATACACTTTCTTACCCCCAAAAATGAAGTATTATGCAAATAACTTTTTGATAAGATGATCACAAGACATAATTTATACACAAAGCGAAAATGAATGTAGCTCGTAATAATATGTATTAGTTTAACAAGACATTTAACATTTAAGAAATCTACTTACGTACCAGCATTTTTGGGTAGTGATCTCCAAGATCCTTCGCCATTAGCCTGAATATATTTAGTGAGGATTTCATCTTCTTCTTCAGTCCACCTGCCTCTCTTGAGTCCCACTTTCTCACAACAAGGTGTTCTTCCCATTTTTTATATGAAAACACACTTTAATTTGCTCAGTAGGGGAACTGCCCTGGATATTTCAAATGGCATGCAAGTGGAGAGTACAGTGTAATGAGCCCCAAATATGAATGCCAATAAATAGAGCGAGAGACGACACAAGTAGCTAGGTACTAATTACCCCACCACTTAGGGTCGGGAGATAGAAGTCCATATACGAGTTCGATTAAATTCAGTAACATTTGTTCAACCAGTATTTTGTATTAAGAAATTTATTAAATATATCCACGATAAAATTAAAATCTAATTATTAGATTTTGAAATTTTCGTTTTTAGCATAAAGTTGAAATTTTGATTTCGACGTTACGGCACCACCTACCTCAGCTTTGCCATTAACATATGTCACACATGAATTCGTCATTTATCTTAACATAACTGAGTGAGACGGGTATAACATATATAGCAATAGGTACATTTACTAATTTTTTATATGTACATTGAAGTATTAGCAAAAAGTTAAAGACAGTATTGTGAAAGCATCATCTTAAAGTCTAAATTGTTAGAAAAGTGACATATTTAATTTATTTCTTTATTTGTATTATGTTTACACACACCTAACGTGAACTCTCGTGTAAATCTTCTGATAATAATGAATAGTGGTGATATACTTGAATCTAGAAACTCTACTTGCTCCAATTGATATTATGTTAAAAGTACGGTGGCAAACGGGCGGGTCATGTCAGATACGAGGGGGTCGAAAATAGATAATGCCAAAATGGATAAATTATTCGATCCGATCCATATTTAATACGGATAAAAAACAGGTTAATCGTCGGATAATATGAATATTCATATTATCCATGACTTCTTGAATATGATCACTTTTGAAAGAATCCCTAGTCTTTCAAATTTGAAGAACCCCAACTTCAGATTTTACAAATATAAAAGTTAAACTCATTAGTTATTCATTATCCATTTTTTAAGTCGATAAAATGGTTCTTATCTATATTTGACCAGTTTTTTTTAAAAGTTTATTATACAATCCATTTTTAATGAATAATATAAGTGGATAATTATTTTCTTTTAATCAGTTTACCGTCACTATGTTAAAGTGTGCAAAGCTTATATTATTTGTGTATATAAATTAAATTCGTTTGTTTTATTATAAGTTGTTACGTTACTGTAAACTAACTTATGTATGTAACTTTAGTGTGAACCGAACGTGGCATAGGTTGACCTCAGACTTTGCATGATGTCACTCGTAGAGGCATTGTACATATTATAGTAATTCCTTTCTTTAATTTGGAAGTTCAGGATTGACGAGGATGTGGAAAAGGTGAACTTCGTATCTTTTCTGAGATCAAACACGTGTAAGTTTTTTTTATAATGAATAGTGGTATCCTAAAATATATATTTATAATTGTTTGTAAGAAGTATAGTCGTGCAAGTTTAAAAATACAGTAAATGAAGTGTTAAAACTAGTTTATGTAACACTAGTGTGAACAGAACGTGGCAAAGGTTGACCTAAGATTCTGCATGCATGTCACTCGTATAGTTATTGTATTGTAATTCCTTTGTTAGGTAGTGTGAAGATTGACGATGAAAATGAAAAGGTACACTTCGAACTTTTATTTGCATCAGAGATTGGAGTTAAAAGGTTTAAAGTTTATAAATTCTAAATATGTTGGAATTAGTGTTGGAATTAGGACTTTCACCGAAAGAATTCAAATTATAAAGAAGGATACACGTGAATAAGTCAAGAGATCGAATTCTACATCCAGTACGGTTATATGTATAAAATATTAATTTTAACCTTGCATATGCCTAGATCTGTTAATGCCCAATAACTATAACTCGTGTTAGTTGCTAGATTCGCATTTAAATATTTATATATAATTTAATTATTTTTTTACTACAAATATAAATAATAACTACAAACTATAAAAAATCAAGTATAATCCTACAGGTATAGTATGAGAGAGTAGTGTGTACACAACCTTACCTTTACCTTTACGAAGAAAGAGAAATTATTTCCGATAGACCCTCAACTCAAGTAAAATACAATCAAAGCAGTTATAAAAAGAAGTTGGATTTATTGTTCTAAAAGCGTAAGTCAGATTTTTGAGTAGGCCTAAGCACCACGCTACACGTATAGACGCGAACCCCCCTCGTTACCGTACGTGCGACTCTCACCGCATACGGCTCGCACAAAGACTCCTAAATCCATCCCGAGCTATTAGATCGTGTCCTTAGACATCGTGATGCAATCATATCCCATCTCAACTGGGCATGTATATTTCTAGGCTTTCACAGTTTTGGTTTGTATATTCATAATGATACCATGAGCGCTTTAGGGCGTCCTCAAGATATGTTTTCAGATACCGCTATACAATTACAACCCGTTTTTGCTCAATGGATACAAAACACCCATGCTTTAGCACCTGGTGCAACGGCTCCTGGTGCAACAGCAAGTACCAGTTTAACTTGGGGGGGTGGTGATTTAGTGGCAGTGGGTGGCAAGGTGGCTTTGTTGCCTATTCCATTAGGAACCGCGGATTTCTTGGTACATCACATTCATGCATTTACGATTCATGTGACGGTATTGATACTCTTGAAAGGTGTTCTATTTGCTCGCAGTTCCCGTTTGATACCGGATAAAGCAAATCTTGGTTTTCGTTTTCCTTGTGATGGACCTGGAAGAGGGGGTACATGTCAAGTATCGGCCTGGGATCATGTCTTCTTAGGACTATTCTGGATGTACAATGCAATTTCGGTAGTAATATTCCATTTCAGTTGGAAAATGCAGTCAGATGTTTGGGGCAGTGTAAGTGATCAAGGGGTAGTAACTCATATCACGGGAGGAAACTTTGCGCAAAGTTCTATTACTATTAATGGGTGGCTCCGCGATTTCTTATGGGCACAGGCATCCCAGGTAATTCAGTCTTATGGTTCTTCATTATCTGCATATGGCCTTTTTTTCCTAGGTGCTCATTTTGTCTGGGCTTAGTGGATTGAGTCGAAACTAATGTAATCCTATAAGTGAGCATTTATAAAATCTCGAGTCGAACCCGTACCTAATACTCAGAGGCGAACACACACTATATGTAGAGAAGTTACCGGCACCCGAAAACGTCGACAAAATTCACGTATAATTGTAAATGTCTTCAAGAAATAGTCAGATATATTAGCATAGACCCCGTACCAATCTTTATGAACATTGATAAATTTATATTGAATGTCATGTCGCTCCCAGGACCGCTGAATCTTGGATCCACCTCTACTAATACTCTAGGTTCCCGATTTGTATGTATGGTGGTTGAGGATACCACGCAGTGAGTTGCTCTAAAGGTTTAAGAGAAGTCGTGGCTTGACCACCGTCGAGTTTTCTGTTCACGGGGCTCCATCTCCCACGTTGTATTGTTCCTAGTTACCACCATTTACTCTTTTTCCAATTTTTATGTCATTCAAAAAAAACATTATTAATTGCACTATACGCTCCCATACTAACAGTAGCTCTTATTATTGTTTCCATTCTACTTCTGGCCACCTCTTCAACTTTATAGAATTTAATTTTCCGCTTTTGGCTGCTTTATTTGTGGTCCTGTATTTATAATTCGCCTCTATATTTGTATAAATACACCATTTTAGTACCTAACATTTCGATTAGAATACAGGGGAAAAGGGTCAATTTTGCTCATTGTACGATTTGAGATTGAGCAATTTTTAATATATACATATATGGCCTCGTCGATAGGAAAATTTTTCGTTTATCCTTAATGGAGCTCCAATATGAGAGTAATTTAAATCATAATCAAAAGTCGAGCGATAAATAAAGGCGGGTTAAGAATTTAACGTTTATGGATTATGAACGTAATTTGCCAGCGAACTCATTTATCGTTTTGGTTATTGGGTTTGCAATAAATACTTTTTACATATTTAATAGATTTTGAATACAAATATAAGATTTACAGATCCGTAGCTAATGATTTAGCCCGCCCCTGGGGTAAATTTAGACCCCTTTTCTTGAAGATTTAGAAACGTGGAGTCCACCCATTTTTATGCGGGAATTTCGTTAGTAACAGAGGAAAGTATAATATGAATTGCTAATAGCAAATTTTTGAATTGAATTGGGCCAAAAGTGTGTTCCTATTTTGTTTCCATCTACTTATGGCTTGAACTTTATACTAATACTAGGTGACGGCAGGCCCGTGGCACGGGCCCAATATTTGAAAGTTTTTTTAAATCTATCCCCCTTAAAGATAATTCTAGTAGTATTTTAATTTTATATCTTAAATTCAATAAGTGGCAGACTTATGTTTAAAAAAATCAAACGAACTCCAATTTACAAAACCATCATAATAAAATTAATGTTCCTCCAGAACAATATGAAAAGCTTTTAAAGCTACTTAATAAAATATGGTAAGGAAATATTTTTTATATTAACTAATTATTTTTATTGATTTATCGAATTAACAAAAGCAAATTTTAAAGCACAATTATCGAAATGCACTTAGTAAGTGCATTGACTAATGCAATTGAAAAAATTAATGGACAACTGAAATAGATACTAAGATAGGTCTTCATAAATCAAACCAATAATATCAACACAAAAATAGCATCATATGTTAGTTGACTAAGTGCAGTCTCCTTCAAAAACCGTAAGAAAATGAGTTAGATTGTGACTTTATCGGGAACTTCTCCTTTTACAGTATCATTTTTCATTCATCAAATTTTTATGCATATTTGATTTTACATTTTGCTAGCAAACGTTTGATTTTTAAATTTTTGTATAAAGACAGTTTTGACACTTTAAACTAATATTTTTAGATTGTGTTCCTCCATCGTAACGAAAAAAGGGAAGTTTAGAGAAATTTATTACTTCTCTATAACTATGAAAAAAGCGTAGGAATATGAATACTTTGAATATATATCATAATTGTGCGTCTCTCATTCTATAATTCAACGGTGATCACAAGTTGTCTAAATACTTTCTTACACTTAGTTTGACTGTTCTTAGTTAACCACAACTAACTTACTTTAAATTTGTGCTTGATATTTTGAGTTTTAGATGGTGCATTATTGGTAAGACCAACT